TTTTGGAGAGAAAACAAGTAAATGAGCATGCCACTTTGTCATCTACCCCCTATTTTTATTTTAAAATATTTCTCTTAGTAAGAAATAAGGATTGTCTCAAAACCTATGAAAAATTCAATCACAAAATAATAATCGTGCAACAAATCACAATTATCAACCAATGAAAGGCGAAGTTCATATGTGGTTGAGAGACAAAAATGGCAACAAAATTTCAATATATATGAAAGCGAAATTTAAATGGACAAATAATAAAAATATTTAAATATATAAATATTTTAACAAAAATATAAAAGTCATCAATTCTAAATTTTTATTTTTAAACGGGTCAAAATTAAAATGTAGGTCAAATCCATTTAAAATATATATTTTTCAAACCTTCTAAACATTCAAATTTAATGCTCTTCCAAAATTGCATTTTGACCTTAGATTTAAAATTAAAAACAGGTCCTTCAATTTCGAAAATTGCATCGTAGGTCCTTACTTTAAAAATTGCAATATGCCTTAATATCTAAATTGCATATAGGGGCCTCCAATTTGACAAATTGCAGTAGAGTCCCCCGTTCCCAAATCCATCTAAAATTTTCTCTTAGGTGGCGCCACCACCACAGATTTTAGATCCAGTCTTCAATAGCTCCAATAACAGATGTTGGTGTCGAAGAAGAGAACTACCAAATAGGCAGCGGCAACGCACAGCGTGCCACTGTTGCTACTATTAGTAGCAGCGCCGAATTTCTCCCACCGCGTGCAATAGGAGTCAATCAATGCTCCGCAAAATCCAGTTAACCCAACGTCATACAGATTCAACATTAATTCTTAATTTTTTTTAGCAATAAGAAAAATATGCAAACTTAGAACAATTATATACATGCAAGTAATATATTCAGTCGTTTTAGACCTTGCTACAACAAAAAGAACTAGGTACTACCATGGCGGGATATAGTTATCAATGGTTGAAGTCGCCACGATTAAATCTAAAATCCATTGAAGGAGTACTGGGAAGTCAGAGTATTGATTGAAATACAAATCAATAATAAGAGTTAAGGAAGCTACAGGCATATAATGTGCTAAAACCCTTGTGTTTGATTGTTAAGTGCTTTTCTCATTGGGAATACGCATGTCATCAAATTCCCAACACCAACCATCGTTCCAAGCTATATCTCATATTGCAATCGTTTCAAGATTTTTCACCATGGAGTCAAAAGTTAAATTATAAATATTCTTATAGAGGATTCTGATCTTAGCATGTCGCTTTGATACCAATTGTCGAATATAACTATAATCATGCTAGGAAACAAGAATCACAATTTGATTGCAAACAATTTAAAATTCATACATGCGGAGGACATCGTGGAAATAAATATTAGCAGTTAGATCTTCCATTCCTTGCTTTTTCAAAATATTAGCCGTCAATGGGGCAAACTAATAAAACAATATGGAGAGAAGATGGGACCTAATCTTTATATAGAAATTTATTGAGCCGTCCCATTAACGACTCAACCCTAATTAGGGTTTACATATATTTTTTACCCACATACTTAAAATTACCACATTATATAAAATATAACCCGTAAGTTGTAAAACGGTCCAATTGATCATTTAATATATTAGGCATATTTACAAATATCATTATGAGTCATACATTTTAACCCGTAAAATTTGTAATCAAATAGGAAGCCCATATTTTAGAATTATTCTAACAGTACATGCAACAAAAGCCACAATATACACTAGATATTAGCTAATAAATCTATAATATTCTTCAAGAGACTAGCATTCAGAGTATTACAAATATTTTAGGGCATTTTTGTTATCATATTTACTTATATTTAGTTCCTATTTGATCCGTATTATCTAAAAACTCTTTTTTTTTTTATATATATATAAAATTCATTTTCAATTACACATTCTCAAAATAAAATATTTTGCCAGTAAACCCAAAATTTTTTTGTACTTTTTAACCATTCATTATCTAAAATTTACTAATATGAAGCGGATTTTCAACCGAAAATGGGGCTTAAACATAGGGGCAATTTAATGTATAAAAATTAAGCTAATACGAAATCTTAAGATAATGAAATTTGGTTTTCTATTTTCGTTTACTTTCTTGTATTTTACAATTGCATAATAGCATTTGAACCATATAAGTTGCCTTGGAAATGACTTTGGATTTTTTTATTTAAGCAATCACAATAATTGAGTTATCAGACAAGAGAAATGCTACAGTACAAATTTTTTTTAATAGATTTTATACAAGAAAATAGCTGTTTCACAGGAATTGGCTGCTGTCAAGAACAGTTTTTGACAACAACAAATCACAAGGAGACAGATGTCACGTTTATAAAATTTGGTAGAAAAAATATGTACTTGCAGAATAATTCACCAGGCAAAGAAAAAGGGACATTTTGTTATAAAGATAGTTATAGACAAAGTCTTGTTTAAATAAATCACTGGGAACATTAATTATTGGGAAATTTGTAGTAGTGAGTCCCTAATTTTGCAGATTAGACTCTTATCTTTAATTTGTGTCAGTGAAGGTTTCCAACCTTTCAAAAATATGCATCTGAAATCCAAATAGATGAAATATATCCACTTTTCCATTAGTTGAACAAGAAAATGATGTTAACTTCATCTCTTTTCATATAAAAATAATTAAAACAATTAAATAAAAAAAAAATCATCATCCCCATCCCATCGAAACCCTACCCCTACCCCTTCCCAAAACCAAACTCTGCTACCAATCGTCGTCATTCTGCTGCCCTCGCCATCGCCAAATCTACAACCATCACCACCTTTGCTACCATCTTCTCCACTACCAAATGTTTCAAACTAAAAAATCAAAATCAAAATCGAACTGTTTAATTTGGAAAAGCAAATTCATCTCAAACTACGACCCAACCACTATTAAGCTGACATGAAGGGTAATTGGTTTTCCACCACCACCATCTCGCCTTAATGAATTTACAGACACCAAAGCCTAAATAAGTTTAGGCGGTAGAACCACTATACCACCACCATCACCAAGCGATGATGTGGCTGAACGCATTTCAGAATTGGAGACAAGCGCCACCTCCAACTGCAGTGACAAGCCAGATATGGGGAAAGAACCACCACCACCACTACATGTCTACCTCTGTCTATAATCTACAATTGCAAAACACTTCTACCACAAACTCAGAGGATATCCACCATTGATTTGATCGTTCACTTTGATTTTTATTGAATCCAAATTCACAGAATTAAATAATTTGGAACTCAAAATCTCATTTTTGAAGGTTCAAGACCTAAAACGAAATCATCTAAAGTGTTTGGAAACCTAACAAGGTCTTAATTTGTTAAAACTCAAATTGAATTATAATTAAGTTTTAATTTGAAGAGTGAAGCTTAACTTGAACCCCATAAACCTATACTATAAGAGTTTTAGCTAAGTCACGAATATTGAATATCGTCTTGTTTTAATAAAGTAGGAAAAAGTGGAATATTATTTTCAATAAATTGCGTATTGAGAGAGAGAGAGAGAGAGTTACGTAGGAGTTGGTCCATTCCAATTCTCAATCGGACCATCATAGTGGTTCAAATTATTTAACTGTGTGAGAGAGAGAGAGAGTTACATTCATGATGAGTTGGTCATTCCAATTCTCAATTGGACCATCATAGTGGTTCAAATTATTTAAGAGAGAGAGAGAGAGAGAGAGAGAGAGAGAGAGAGAGAGAGATTTTTTAACTGTGTGAGAGAGAGAGAGAGTTACATTCATGATGAGTTGGTCCATTCCAATTCTCAATTGGACCATCATAGTGGTTCAAATTATTTAAGAGAGAGAGAGAGAGAGAGAGAGAGAGAGAGAATAAAATTACATTCATGATGTAGGAGTTGGTCCATTTTAATTCTCAATTGGACCATCATAGTGGTTCAGATTATTCAAGTCCAGTTTCGTAGGGTTTAAAATCAAAATTTTAATATGTTTTGATAAAAATTGATAAAATATTTAATTGAAAAAATTGTAAATCTCACAAAAATTGATAAAAATGTGCGACTAAGATAATTTTAATCTCTACTGAATAGGGGCCAAGTGTATTTAATTGTCATTAGACTGTAAACTAGGCATAACTGGATTAAAAAAAATCCTCATTTTCAATTCGTTTTCTCATTTATGTATTTATTAATTTATTTTTATTTTGTTAGAAAATGTATAAATATAATATGAAATAAAAAATGACAAATAAGAATTGAGTTAGCCCTTGTTTGTCAACCATTCTATTACATTATTTTTTCTACAGTACTCATTTTCAATTACACATTTTTGATTAAAATAATATTACACATAAATAAAAAACTTTTCATTCTTTTTTAACCACACATTTCAATATCAATCACTATTCCATACTCCAATTTTTAAAATTAAAGGGCCACAAACAGGGCTGAGTGATCATATTCCTTTTCTCTTCTCAATTTTCCATTAAGTGAAGCAAGATCGAAACTTCTACCATTCTAATCAGTAGTAACTTTTAAGCCATTAATTAAAGTAAAAATAACATTTTACAAAATTAAGTAAAAATTTACAAAACTAAGTACAAATTGGTCTTCGATGTGTTGCCCATCAACTCTAATTCTCTCTTACCCACTTAGTATTTAAAATTACAGTAATATTATTTAGCATCACAGATATTTAATACCAGTATAAATGAATTGACATAAAATTACAGGTTCAATTAAATACAAATTATTATGACTTATTTAATAGGACCTATGATATGTTAACACATATTTAACATTAATTATACTAAATAACATTATATTCTTGAAATCAAGATTTAAATATTTCAAAATTCTACTTGTAAATAGTTTTGGGCTCGAGTAATGCTATTTAATCGTGTTAATGTGAATTAAATAATAAGTACACTTAGATAAATAATTTAATTTCACGTTTACAAAAAAAAAGCTAGATAGGATTATGGCAATAGAGACAAAAGGACGAACGAAAGCAATGGCATTATGGCCATTCTCATCCCCTTAAAAAGGTAACGGAGCAACACGAATCGAATCTTCCCTTCAAACATCAAATCTTCAACGGCCAAGATTCCATACGATAATAGACAACACCACCAATCCAACGGTTGATATCACATACACTCTCCCAATAAAAAATTGGAACCAAGATTCGATTAGAGTCCCTGCAATTCCCCAAAGCTGAAACAGTGAATCCAAAGAGAAAAATGGCATCCCAATCTTCATCTTCAGAGAAGGAAAAGGAAGAGGAAAAGGAAAATGGGAAATCTGCGGAGGAAGTAAAAAAGAAGGTAAAAAAAGAAGGGTTGGGATGGATGGAGTGGCTGAGGGGGTGGATGTATATAATCTATGAAATGCTTTTCCAGAGGATTTCAGCAAGCCATTTGCAGAACCCAATGCCTCTTCCTCCCATTAATGACCTCACCTGCATCGTCACAGGCTCCACTTCCGGCATCGGCAAAGAAATTGCTCGGTCTGTATAATGTATTTTTCTTAGTATTGTTTTAAATTTTGCATCGGGTTCTTAATTTGGTGATTCATTAATTGGATTCATGTAGATTGCATTCAAACATATTTAGAATGTAACATCTGATTATCTAGATACGAGGTCCTTCGTGATATCTAATCAATTGCATAATTTTGAAGTTTAATTTCATTACTCGTTGCATTGGTTACATTAATTAGTATTGTTCCGTTTTTCGCTTGGGTTCTTGATTTAGTAACATATTTAGTCGATTGTAGGGAGTCCACTGTGAGGGATTAAACCGTACCATTTCATAATCAAAATACAAATGCTTGGCGATATGAAATTTGATATTACAGAGTAATTTCATAGCTTTAAAGTTAATATCATTTCCAGCTGCATTATTTAAATTTATATTCTTATTGGTTATTCAACTAGCACAACACAAACTGCAGTGATGGTTTAATTTTTAATAGAATTGTCCCGTTAAATCATCAATTGCTACTTTAAAGTAGAATTTGTTAAGGGTAATATCCCTTCCATATTGTTTAAATACGAAAATAATGACCACATAGGTTTGTATAACAATTTGTTAGCAAGTTTGACCTTTTAAAATGGAATCTGAAAACGCAATAGAAAAGTAGGTATATTTACAGTTAAGTTTTGTGTCTTAAACTTGTATTGTCCTGTGTTATATAGTAATAATGCAAAATTCTTGGTGCTACCAATTTATAGACACTCGTACTTGTTTTCATAGTTCAAATTTCAGGGCAGCACATAAAGAATACTAGTGTTCTTTTATTCTTTGCTCAAGTGCCTATTTGTTTTCTTCATTTAACAGGCAATTGGCAGAATCAGGGGCACATGTCGTTATGGCTGTCAGAAATCCAAAGGCAGCCAATGATTTGATAAAGAAGTGGCAGGAAGAATGGTCGGGAAGGGGCCTTCCTCTTAATATTGAGGTAGAATATAGGGATATGAGCATATGCTTTAATGAAAAGGAAGTTCTAATGGGTTTAAAATACACAACAGGAATGCTTAAGATTTCTTTTCATGCGATACAAGTCGTGTTTGAATGTTATTAGACTGACAAAATTTATTGTGACCTATTTCTGTAATTTTACTATTACTGTAGGTTTCACTTTTGCTTTTAAGATTAGTAAGAAAACCAGCTTCTAAAATTGTGACCTTTTATTAGGTGATGGAACTAGATCTTCTCTCCCTGGATTCTGTAGTGAAATTTGCTGAGGCTTGGAATGCACGCGCAGGGCCTCTGCATGTTCTCATTAACAATGCTGGAATATTTTCCATAGGAGGTATATATGTGTAGTAACTAATTCAGCAATGCTACTTCTCTAATGTTTCGCTCCTGATTGGTAAAGTTCAATAATAAGCCCTTGTGTGACGTGTATTTTTTTGAGAAGTGATTTTGTGAAAAGTGATTCTTTTGGAGAATGTGTGGTTGAAATGAGTTTGAGGAAAAGTTCAAAATCACTTTCAAACAAGGGCTAAGGTTCTATTTCCATGGACCATGGTGTTATTAATTTGCTGATTACTGTTACCCCTCACTTTATATGGTTAGCAAGCATACTTCTGAAACCTTTTAATTGCTTCAAAACAAAGTAAGTCTTCTCATGAATTAGTATGGTTAAATATTTCTTTAAAGTCAGTCAAATTATCTTCAGTTGCATCTTAAGTAACAAAACACACGAGTGGTCTTTATTTATTTATTTATATATTTTTTCCCTGCCAACTAGTAGTCCATTTAAATGTATTATCCCACAGGTAACTTTTGTGGTCGGATAGTGTTGCCATTTACCACTTTTCAATTACATTTAGTCCAGGAAACTTTGAGGGTCTTAGTGTTTCTGTCACCCAATGTTATGAAAAGTTTGACATGGTTGTACTTCCCATAAACATCATTGTTGCATTTTCACTTGTCACTGAATTATGTTTTATTTGGTCTTAGAGAACACTAAAATAGACATAAAAATAATGTTTGATGAAATTGGAGGTTCACTTTTCTATTTGACATCTCTTGCTGGACATAGCCTAGACCTAATGGTTTTTACTATAAAGAACAGAATAATTTATGTATTTGCTTTCCATTTGCGTAGCAGGTTTATGAAAAGGGTATCAAAATTATTTGCTATCTTTTAAGAGAACTCAAGTTTCTTGTGAAATTTGAATGCCTTACTTTTCATACAGTTGTGCAAGTTAGTTTCTCTACACAACTTTTTGAGATGGTGCAGTTCACCGTTGATGTGCCTGCCTGCCACTTTAAGAGTGCTAAATTTTCTTTCCCTTGCATCCCTACTTAGTGAAAATCCTGTCACTTTAAGAGTGCTCTTTCGACAATTGGTTTGTTACTGCACATGGTAATTTTTGGAGAAAGTAGATTCTGCTTGTACTATTTGGCCAATTGAAATGTTTTCTTGTTGTTAAAGTTACTTTTAGTTCTTTACCAACTACTTTCTTTATTTCATCCTGATTCTGTTGTGTAGTCATTTAGGAAATCATTTCATATCTTTATTTCATATGTAATAGGTTTTTTCCCCATCAAATTTCTATTACATATTTTAGAAAATTAATCTGCTTGTTAAGTGGTATAAAGCTGCTTCTTGCAGTTTCTTTCCCAACTTTTCTTCGATTTAATAGCTCATTTTGCATTGTACTGAATCCCTTCACAAACAAAAGTCTGCTCTACCTGTTGTTCAATTCATATTTTGGACATTCTTCTCGAAACTAACCTAACTGGTTATCCAAATTTAATCCTTGCAAAGTGATTTGTTTGATAGAGGTATCTGTTTCCCAGTCATTTCTTAGTTTATTTCATCTTCCTCTGCTTCTCTTCTTACTTTGAATTATATAAGATAAATACCAAGCATTATAGTTGGACTTATACCTCTTTCCATTTCGTTCAGAACCACAAAAAATTTCAAAAGATGGAAATGAAGAACACATGCAAGTGAATCATCTAGCTCCGGCACTACTTTCTATATTACTTTTGCCATCCCTCGTCAGAGGCTCCCCAAGCCGAATTATTAATGTGAACTCTATTGTAAGTTTTATGAAACATTGTGATTTGCGTCTCTATGCTATTATACCTATGCAAAAGTTATTTTGTTTCATTGGCTGAAGTCCTTGAGTTTTTCTTCTATCATTAACAATAGTTTTACTGAATTGTTGAGTTTACGTCTTTATGAAGAATATATGTGAAAATTATTTGCCAATGTTTTATGTTACTAGTGGAAATTTATAATCGATAAGTATAATTGGCCAAACCTATAATGAAAGTGATTCTAAAGTAAGCATTTCTGGAGTCAATATCTGATAGCAGTGATTCATAGTTGGGGCAGAACATAAAGGGAATAGTTATGCATCTCTTGTAGATGGAAGCCTTTCTCCTTCCTCTTGATTGCTGTGCAAGATAAAAATAGGGTGAATACAAACAAATTTTCACATAGGCATCCTAAAATTTTCTTGTTTTCTTGTGCCTTCTGGGAGTATTTTCTTTTTCCCTTTTTTATTTTTTTCAGTTGGCTCTCTTAACTAACAAGTAAAATCTGTTCTCCTCTTTCACCTCTTTTATAGACAAGATGATCATATGATATTTGGGCAAAGGCTTTCCACCCTTTTTCTTCTTTTTGATAGAACTATTTACATTTTATTTCTGTTTCTTGTAAAAGAACTTTCCACCTTAATTTTTTTTTTTTAAAAACCCTTTTCCCCCCCCCCCCCCCCCCCAAGAAGAAATTTTACTGGATTTTGTTGGCCACCGTATGTCTTTCACCCTAGTTTCCACAAAAACTAAATCATATGCAGTGAGATTTTGCCACAAACTCTTATTGCTTAAAAAAATTATTTTCAGTTTTCGTAATGTTTGTCTGCCAAAAAAATTCAAAATTTTTAGGTAAATAAATCACTGTTAGTAAGTAAATAAATTCAAATTCTCTGACTTCCAATTATTTGTTTATTAGTTATTAACACCTCTAATATTATTTGCTGATGTGCTTTGGATATTTACTATTCAAACATCCTACAATTTTTGTTGGAAACTTGAATCTAGATCAAATTGCAGGGATCATGTGTATTTATTATCTTTGCTTCCTATCCACTCAAGCTGGGAGTAAATTGTCTATTTTGTGTTTGTGTAGATGCATTATGTAGGATTTGTTGATACAGAAGATATTAACGTTTTATCTGGAAAGAGAAAGTACACAAGTTTGGTGGGATACTCGAGCAGTAAACTTGCTCAGGTGCTTTCAAAAACTTGCTCCTAGTGTTTTAGTAGTTCTAAGCAAAGTTGGCTTTGAAAATTCATGTTCTCTTATGTTTCATTTGTGTTAAAGTCCTCGAGCTATGTAAGCAGGTCATGTTCAGCAGTGTTCTTCATAAGCGGCTACCAGCTGAAGCTGGCATAAGTGTAGTGTGTGTTTCTCCTGGAATTGTCCAAACCAATGTTGTGAGTTTCTGAATGCGTAGCTTTTTGTCTCAGTCAATGAAATCATTCTGTCTGTAAAAGCTATATACTGGGTTTCAATTATTACTTCTGATGGGATCATATATTTTTCATAAAATTATGATAATTTTCTTATTAAATGCAGGCTAGGGATCTTCCAAAGATAGTTCAAGCTGGTTATCGTTTAATACCCTATTTTATATTCAGTGCTGAAGAAGGTAAGTGTTGTCAAATTTTAGCATGTTTTCTTGTCACTTAATTGCTAGAAATTTATAATTGGATCTCTAGAAATTGTTTTGATACATAGCGTATTTTGTCTTTTTCGCTCTGAAATCTTTCTGCAGTTAAAAATTTGGGTCAAAGCACCAGGAAAATCCTAAAGTTGTCTGTAAAATAAAGTGAAACATAATCCTGTTGTTCCTTTTGGCACCTGCCACTACCACTGATGAAGTTCTTGGCTGATAGAATAAGATTGGATATTAAATAAATTTAGTTTTGAGCTAGTTTTACAGATTTGAGGGGATTAGTCGAGGTGCGTGTAAGTTGGCCCGAACACCCATGGTCATTACTAAAAAAAAAAATGTTTTAAAGATTCCAGACGAGGCAACATCCTTGAGTGTGTAATTAATCACAAGAACATGAGGCTTGAAACTATGATATCATTATTTTTCGCACATTCACTCATAAGCATTCTCTGAGGATTAATGTACTGACGGAAAATTTCATTTCTTCTGCTCCCTATCCATTGAAATAGAGAGAAAGTTGCCGAACCAAATTTTTTCATGCACCAGATAGAGTGCTGAGTAAGTCGCCCCAGATTAGACAAAGTATTCATCCTCAAAAATTGGATCAGGGTTAATCTGACAACCTATATTTTGGAGCCAGCTCCATTCTCTTTCTATCACATATTCAGCACCAATAGAAGCAAATAATGCTATTATTTAGCACCATTGGTGTTTTGACATCAGTCTAAGTGACTGCAATAGTGACATTAAATTAAAGGTTCAATTAAATATGAGGAATTATGGTCCATTTAATAAGATTTATGATATACTGACACCTAGATTGGTATTCAACACCACTAGACTAGATATCATTGTTCAGCTTTAGAAGAGAAGAAAAATTGGGGGGAGAGAGAGAGAGAGAGAGAGAGTCTTTGATCTTAAACACAAGTGAACAATAACGAATTTCCTTGTGCGATTTGTTGGATTTGATTGATGAATTTGTTATTTAAGATTTAATTTTACGAAAACTAAGTTTTCTGTTGTAACTTGGTCTGAATTAGCTACTTTTATAATTTGGACTATTACAGGTTCTAGAAGTACACTATTCGCAGCCACAGATCCTCAAGTTCCTGAATATTGTGAGATGTTAAAAGCAGACGAATGGCCAGTCTGTGCCTTCATTTCTCAAGATTGTCGTCCCTCAAATCCTTCTGAAGAATCACATAATGTCGAAACCTCATATAAAGTGTGGGAAAAGACACTCAAAATGGTGGGACTTCCCCCAGATGCTGTAGAGAGACTTATAGAAGGCGAAGAAGTTAATTGCAAATATGGAGCATTCCACTAGTTTTACTTACAGCAAAGAGTAGGAACACTTCAAAGCTAATCATTTTACGTCTTTTACAGTCATCTCATGATATAACTAATGCCGACTCAAACACAGATTTGCTTTAGATATTGCAATACTTACTTTCCACATATATGTTTGGCATTCTTTTCAGAGTGACAGAGTAACTTGCCTTTCCTCTTCCATAACAGTACGTCTATTGGATAATTTCAAAGACAAAAATGGACCATTGTTGATTGATTTTTATGTGCAATTGTTGTAGAATGTCCTTTTTCTTTTATTATTATTATTATTATTATTATTATTATTATTTTTTTTTTTTTTTTTTTTTTTTTTTTTTGTTGGCATTTGCTCTAAAGTTGAGCACAAATTGTTTTCATGTTATGTAATTGAACTAGTGTGTGTGTGTGTGTGTGTGTGTGTATATATATATAAAATACTGTATGTTTGGAACAAAAATTTGATCTCAATAAATCTTAGTTAAGACCATTCTGAAATAAGTAGTATCGTTGTATTCTCTACTTACATTTTTTATTTACTATATAGAAATCAAATTTAAATGCTGATTTATGCTAGTAAAACTTGTGGGGAAGAATGAATCAAGTAACTTCGATACACAATAATAAAAAATGAAGGAAAAGTTTAGTATTGTTATATTTATAATATTGTTTGTTAAATTTGTATTTTACAATTGGAGGGATAATGTTTGCATTTTCGTTTGGAATATTGTGTGTTTGTTTTCATTTACTTTTTTTTATAAATTGTTTTGTATCAATTTGATGGATGAACCTATAAAAAATAATTTATTTTCGTGGTTATTAATCAAATCGGACCTTGTCAAACCGACATACGAGCCGAATCATTTTATATGGTTATGGTGCGGTTATGCTATGGTAAAAAAAAATGATGGTGCGGTTATAGTTTTAATCGAACCGTTGCCAACCCTACACGTTTCAGTGACTAAAATTAACAAGATATCTGTCTCTAGTTATCAATTATTTGTGGGGAAAGAAAGCATCAATGTGTAAATGTTCAATATTTCAATTACATATTGTTACCCAAAAAAAAAAAAAAAAAAGTGTTCCTAATTAATATTAGCTATCACAATTACATGTACCTTTGCAATAGATTCTGGCTTTTACCTTTGTTGTCTCTTTAAGAATTCTACTGTACATTTAAATTAGTGGAAATTACATGGCAACAGGTGTTTAAATTTTACAATTCATATTCCAAGTATGAAGTTTATTTGTTCAAATCTCAGGTATTAATTTAATTATAAAACCACCCACCAAACCCCAATTATTATTATTTCCTTCTCTCTCTACATTTTCTCTGTTCTCTCTCTACACTCTCTTGTTTCTCTGTTCTTTTTCTTATATGCCATCGAATCATTGTCAGCGACAACGCCTCGTCGACAGTGACTACAACATGACAGTACAATTTGCACGAAGATCTAAGTTCACACAGCATGACAAGACCCAGCCATTTGTCATCTAGTTTTCAAAGATCGCCTTGTGCGTTCGACGCTCAGTCTGCATGATGATCTGAGTGTTGTAGTGATGATCTGAGTGGTGGTGGTTTGATTGTAGAGGTAGCGATGGCGATGGCACTTGTGGTGGTGTAGTGTTTGGTTTTCTATGGGTGTGGGTTTTTGTTGAGATTTAATAGTCCAAAACTGAGGAAATTTGGTCACGAACTAGTGCTGAAAATTTGGGTTGAATTTTATTGGTTTTGTGTAGTTGATGGTGGTGGTGGTGGTGGTGCAAGTTGTGATGGTTGTGTGGTGGTGGTAGTAGTGTTGGTGGTTGTCTAGTGGTGGTGGTGCAATGGTAGTAGTGCAAGTGGTTGTTGGTGGCAATTGGGGGGTGATGATGGTGGCAGTAGCGGTGCGTTTCTATTAGTGCTGAAGGTAGTAGTTCGTGGAGAGCTGATCGTGGTGGTGTTGTGGTGGTGGTGGTAAGGGTGGTCACAAGTGACTGTAATGGCAGTGGCGGTGGTTGTGATGGTATTGTGGCAGCGTGGGTAGTGTTTGTGAAAATTATTGACAATGAATTGTGATTGGGATTGGGTGTTTGGTGTATGTGACCAAATATTTGATTTTTTTGTGACTAATTATTAAAATGTGACATTAACATTCAATAATCCGTGACTAAAAAAATAATCTGTAATCAACAAATTTGAAAATATATGATTAATAGATAAACTGTAACCTATAATTTTTTTTTTTTTTGATTTGTGACCAATGAAATAAAATGTGGCTTATAAAATTAAATTGTGTCCATGAATCTTTGATTTGTGACCTCGACATAATCCGTGACTAATTAATTTGATAATATGTGACCAATAAATAAATTGTAACCTATAATTATATTTTTGTGATCATTAATTATATAATTCTGATCTTATTATATTTAATTAATAAATATTTTTAATTGATTACCTCATACTTGAGTTTTGTATTTTCAAATAATACATTGACTTGTGATTTGAGGTAAACTAAATAATTGAGTTATGATTTTTTGCCCTTTAAATTAAGCAAACTAGCTACATAAACAGTGGCTGACAGGCTGAGTTGACAGCCCCTGATTTGAAATTTCGAGCTTGTTAAAAGGCTTCTGTTGGAGAAGCTTAATTCTTTAAGTGCATAATGGAATCCTTACAAAGATAAGATGGTGGATGAGATCAATAATAATAATAATAATAATAATAATAATAATAATAATAATAATAATAAAGACTTTAAAAAATCCAATAATAATAATAATAATAAAGATTTTAAAAAATCCAATAAAGAGGGTGAGGGGTCGAGAGAAGTATTGTTGGGCACTGATGAATTCAAATGGGTTGTGCGATTGACTGACCATAGAAATCTTTAAGGGAACATCAGGGTGCAAAATACAATTTTAAAATTAAGAAATGAATTTTATTATTTAAAAATCAGGTCTAATTAAATTCTATTAATCAATTATTAATTAAAAAATTACTAATTAAATATATTAAACTTACGGTATTTTACAATTCATTATCACAATTACGTTCTAATCACAATTATAGATGTCACAATCACAAATCACAAATTTTATAGATCACCACATATCCTCAGTCACAAATTATCAAATTATTTGGTTAAGTATTATTTTCTAGGTCATAAATTACAAATTTTATAAGTCACATATTCTTTATCGATAAAAAATTATCAACTTAATAGGTTACGTATTATTTTTCGATCAATTTATTCATCGACCACAGATTATCAAATTAATAAATTACGTATATTGCCCCCAGGGCATATCTCCCAATGGCAAAGGGGAGGGCGGATAGGGCTCAGCGCGGCAGTGTGCAGAGTTCGATTCCCTGCAAGGTGGAATTGACTTTGTTGCAAGCGGGAGTTATCATATGGGTTAACAGTCTTGGCCTATCCATATGCTCTCCACCCTGGCTCCTGGGAGGCACATCCTGCGATTTACCTCCTTCACGATGGCTCAGGGCAGAGTCGGTGGGGGCCCTTAAGGTTGGGGTTCAACCTTTTTTTAATAAATTACGTATTATTTTTTGGCTACAAATCAAAAATTTTATACATCAAAACTTATTTCATAGTCACAAATCATCATATAATTGCTCATAGTTATTTCTCGATCAAAAATTATTAAATGCAATGGGTCACAACTTAACAAATTGCGAGTCACTATTAAAATTTTAGTCAAAATTTCATATTTTTTTTTATGTCACAAATTATTTATTGGTCATGAGTTATATATTTCATCAGTCACATATTATTTATTGATTACAAATAAATAATTTATTACTTACGAGTGGAGAGAAGACAAGACTAAGTGGTTTGCTATGTATAAATGGCAACCCGCACAATGCTCATTCTTAATGCCTTACAACGATACAATTAAAAAACAAAAATCATGAGAGGCACTAATTGGCCTCATCAAATGTGAACTTCCAATTCAAACACACAAAGTATTCAATCTTTTTAAGACGAAGTGCTCAAAACAAAGATCAATCAATCAGCGTTACAATTAGGTCCCTGAACTTTAGATTTCACCAATTTTCACTTTTTCTCATATTTCTTCCAATTCTACGTTCAGTAATCCGTCTCACCTAATAAACAAAATATAAAACAAATTAGGATATATTAACCAAAATAACTATTAACTGTCTATATTTTTAGGCACAGATAAGTGTATAGAATATACGTACGAAACATCCCTAAACTTAAATATTTGGTTATCCTTAAACAAAATCAGAACCTATAGTAACAAACAAAACATGAAACAAAGTTTCAGTTAGATAACTCCTTGTTTTGTCTCAGTATTCAAACCATTATATTAAATCTATAAACAACTTCAAGGTCATAATACCAAAATCAATATCAACCTCTCCATTGCAAATTGATGTACATGTGGAGAATCAAGTATAACATTATAAATTAACAAGTTGTTTCGATTCTCAATCCTTAATGGTCAAATTTATCATTTTCTCACTCGTAAGATTTACACACTTCCAAGCTTATTAATTTTACTCTTTTCCTAAGGTGTAATAAAAGGCTGGATTTTTATGCTAATCCTCACCCTTTTTAATTTAGATGGATCTCACTAATTGTAAGTTAACAATTCAACAAATAAAAATTCTTCAAAATTTTTTATTGTTTTAACCTTCAACACTTAGCTCGGCTAATAATCCCTTGTGAAAATTCTAATTCACTTAAACAAGTATTTGAGACTTAATCAAGGCATGTTGTGTGCATCTTCTATTTCAAGGTTGACTCACCTTTCTACATATCAATCCAGATTCGATCAGATGCTAAGAAGGGTCGACCCAAGATTATTGGAATAATCCAATCTTCATCCTTGTTAGGAGCAATGAAGTCTACTAAAAATATTAATTTTTCTTGCTTTGGTGAGTATATTCTCAACCTTACCCCTTGGATCTGGGGTGGAGATAAGGGGGGTTTTGACCCCCCAACTTTTTCTTCTCTATTATTATTATTATTATTATTATTATTATTTTTGGGGAATAAAGCCTTGATTGATATGAATTAAAATCTAAATTTTAATATAAATAAAAAATAACAATTAATTTTATTGATATATTTTAGGGGACTCCCAAATTTTCAACTTTTATCAAAATTTACTAGAAATTTTATTTTAATCTCCATCAAATAGGGTCAAAATCACAATAGATTTGAGCTCACTTTCCCTCACACTATCAAAATCTTAACTCTTTTAATTTTTTAAAATTTGTCTATAGTTTCTCTAC